TTAGTTGGGCATATAAATTTTACATTTTACAGATTGGGCTATATGACTTTATGAAGTACTTTCTATTTTAAATTGAAGACATTTATCTTGACTTAAATCGAACCTGGTATGAAAGCCACCCCACTGGGGATTGTCGATAAAAAACGTTGACCATCTGTGCTGTCATAATTGAATAATAAACGTAGCGCTGCTCGAAAACTAAATTTCAAGCTGCCATTTTGATGCACGCTGATGCAATTTTACCCAGTACTCAGAATGTTGACAAGGTATAATGAGTTGGCAAAAAAAGATTTAGGCCAATAAAAGACAAGCTGTAAGGATTAATGCCATTATCATTATGTAGATTTATAGTTACCAAATTTGTGATAAGTCCAATAGAGGCAGTAATTTATTAACGGGTACCTAAGAGTCGATTCTAGCCCAATCTCGTCACCTCTTCTTTTTTCCGTTTAAGTGCACGGTTCACTTGGCTGAAAACCTTTTACCAATAGCTCTGCCTCTACCTGTGCATCTATTCCGCTATTCGTGTGCTAACTTTTTGTTGGCTTTTTTGCCAAAAGCTTTTAGCTGGACGCATCCGATGAAGCGTGGCGACGTCGTCATCGTGTCGCTGCATCAAACGACATTTAGCTTGCGCATAAAGTTCACATCATTGCCGAGTTGTTTGCCATGTTAACTTTATTAGTGTGCACGGCTCCTGGATCCCGATTCGCGACGATTCCGCTCCTGGTCCTGGTCCTGTTCCCTCGGAGAGTGCTTCATTTGCGTTATTGATACGCCAGCCTGCTGTATTTCATTAGCCGAGCGCCGGCTTGGATCGGCAAGTTTCTTTTAGCAGCCGTGAAATGCAATTTGCCCGCAGACAGCGTGTGTGGAGTCCTCCAAATTATAATAAATTTCACTGCGCCCAGACACTGCGGACTGTCATAAACTGGTTCTTTATTTTATTGACTCCCGAAAAAATATTTAATATTTATTTAATTTTATGAGATGTTTCAATTGTTTTGCAGAGCTGAAGACTACATCGAAATAACAAATTTCGGTGAAGTTTGTACATGTAACAGTAGGGTAATCATAATAAATTTTTGCAGCTTTGACTGTCAATTGATCGGGAATTATATTCTGGGTTCAACAAGTGTGACATTCCATACTTGGTCCATTGTTAAGTTTGTATGACCAAAATATCTAGTTATTTGCCCACAATAGAAACATAAGTTTTTTGGCTGGTTCAAAAAACCTCTTAGAATTATGACAATTTTTCGAAAAAATTGTCCTTTTCTTAGATACTGTAATAGTAAAGGCAATTACCCTGCCAAATCGACACTCTGACTAATGCCAAATATGTTATGTATTATTTATGAGCATGATGAAGTCCTTCAGCCATTCATTTATTACCCATACTCCCAGCAGCACAATAACCCTTGCACCGCTCGAGTGGCGGGCATAAAAAATACATATGTAGCGAAGGTAATAATAAAGCCACGCAAATCGCACGCCATATTGGCCCCCGTCCATAGACAGATGTCAATCACGTGCCCCGACTGAAGTTGCCTTTCGTCGTTCTGGGGAAAAAGGAAAAAGCACAAAAAACATATCAGAAGGGTTGGGTAAGCCAGCTAAACTGCGGTGGAGGGTTCGGGCCCACTCATCGCGGCTAAGGTCGATCTCAAAGCGCATTCTGGTAATGGAAAAGGAACTGCAAGCTCAAAGCAAACAGCGCAGGAGGTTCCTGCCGGCATTTTCGCATTTCCGATCGGGACAGCCAGTGTCAAAGCCGTGCGCTTGATTGATTTTTTCTCCCTGGCTGTTGCTGCTTGGCATATCGCGCAATAAATGCCACCAATCCCCCACCCAATTGCACCACCCACTTCAGATTTTTCCGCGGGCACTTGGCAGGCCGCACTTAGCTGCCGTTGCCGTTGTCGTTGTCGCCGTCGTTTTGTTTGATAGCATCGTCTAGCAACGTGTCTGGCAACCCGTGTGACGTAAGCCCAGCACTTTTCCACCACCCACCCATTACCAATCCCCAGTTATGCATGCATTGTGAACCCCAGCGTTGGCGCCTTTGGCATAATCAGTTGCAAAAATTTGACACACCCGGGAGTAAACGGGCAAAAAGCGCGTTGTTCCTGCGCCAACCGCCATTTTTACTGCGCCATATTCTGGCTCACACACACACACACATACACATGTTTGTAGGTGTAAATGTGTGTGCTTTATTTGCATATCTGTTTTTGATTTTTGTCGCCGGTGGCGTCTATTCAATTTGACGTGCCGCTCGGTTGCTCAGCAGCAGCCCAATGAAATCAATAAATCTGCTCCACCGTTTGGATCCAATTTATCACTTTGCAGTGGCTCACCCCCTTTTCCCAATAATGTTTCCCCCATTTTCCACTTTCGCGTGCAGTGCCACGCCCACAGACATGCGGCTGAGGCTTATCCGCGAACGATGTGCATACAACTTTATTATTAGGGCAACGTGGCGTATGAGTGATGCGAGGCGCGGCATTAATGGGCAGGCAATTTCTTATGCCCACCTGAATGGCTGTGAAACGTATGCGGCTGCCTCAGTCAATAATGAAATTTAGCAAAATATCCGCACACACAAAAGGAGCGCCCGCGAGTCCTGCGGCGTTGAATTCCAGAATTTCTTCTTTTTTTTTAGAGGGAGGCAAAGGAAGAGCTTTGCATATTTTACGGCGCCATCGAGCCATGTGCCGAAATGTTTTGTGCGCGCTTAAATTGCGGAAGTGATAAACAGGCGGCTCCGGTCCAGGAAGCATTTTAATATTTCAAGTTTCACTCGAGGCAGCAGAAGACGCTTTGTGTCAGAGTGAAAGCAAGACAAGACAATAAAATGAGAAGAAATACAAAGTTTTTGGTTTATTTTTTTTACATTAAATATATTTAGATGGTTTTTCCTTCAAAATTGTTTTCTGGATTCCATGAGCGCGACCTCAATGGCAAGAGGACTTTAAGAGGGGGCTTCAGTAAAAGTAAAAGTTAAACAAAATATTGCAGTTGGAATGTGTTCTGGTTACGGCTCTTTTGGGTGGCGCCACGCCCCCTCCATGCCTCACGCCCTTAAGGTCCTTGCATCATGGTATGTTTTGTGGGCTGGGGTTGACATTTCGGTTTCGGTTCCGGATTCAATTTAGCAAACTTCTTACATCAAGTACATTTATATTTCGGTTATATTATTTGCTGCTTGTTTTCCGTTCGCTCTGTGTACATTTAAGTTAAAATAATTAAGTAAGCTACATTTAGTTGTTAATATTTAAAAATTACTTTACTCGCTGCCAACTTCCATGCGCTGCTTAGCCGTACAAAATAGAGGAGACGAAACTCATTCAAAATGGCACTCAAAACAAGACAACCAAACAATATCTTAGACAACAAGAGGAACGCAAAATCTTTGGTTAAAATTTCTCAATTCTTAAGGCTAAATATTAAATAAGTGTTCGTGTCGTTATTAATTTATTACAAGCATTTAATGCATTAGACAGAGTGGCTGAATCAATCGAATTTCGCCCGACTCCTTGAGGCAACTGAAAATCGTTTCACAATCTCTAGCATAGTAACTTCGTGACAATCAAATGAAATGAGTGTAAAGTGGCTGAGTATCAACAGTAATGAAATTAGTGCCCTGCTTAGAAAGAAGTTTTCTTAGATTTCTCGTTTTCTTCACATTTATAATTTTTTTTTTGCTTGGGTTTTCTTGTTTGTATTTAAGTTCTTAGTGGCTAATCAAAACACTAAATACATTTAGCTTATATCCATTTACTTAAAATAGTTTTGTGTTTTCTGCTTTGCTCACTTCTATTTCATTATTTCGCTTGTCTCAAGTGCCTTGAGTTTGCCCCATTTCCTCGGCGCTTTTCCGCGTTTCTGCTTCCCAGCTCCTCGGGTTTTCCCCGAATTTCCTGCTGTTTGCTTTCACTTCACTTATCTGCTGATTGTCCACTAAAACTATGCTTGCTCCTTATGCTCGGCGTTCTACTTTTCTGGCTTTCCCTCTCGGCTGCTCCCTTTTTTTTCGGGGATTTAAGCTTTCCCCTTTTTTATACCCTTGCAGAGGGTATTATAATTTTGGTCAAAAGTGTGCAACGCAGTGAAGGAGACATCTCCGACCCTATAAAGTATATATATTCTTGATCAGTATCACCTCCTGAGTTGATATAGCCATGTCCGTCTGTCCGTCTGTCCGTCTGTCCGTCTGTCCGTCTGTCCGTCTGTCCGTCTGTCCGTCTGTCTGTCCGTCTGTCTGTTTCTACGCGAACTAGTCTCTCAGTTTTAAAGATATCGAATTGAAACTTTGCACACACCCTTCTTTCCTTTGCACGCAGTATATAAGTCGGAACGGCCGGGATCGGACGACTATATCCTATAGCTGCCATATAACTGATTGATCGGAAATGCCATAACTTTGGTGTTTGTAAAGTTAGAAAGCTGGGATTTTCTACGGGTTTTATATTTGGCTAGTCAATCCGACCTGCCAAATTTCATAAGGATCGGCCGACTATATCCTATAGCTGCCATATAACTGATTGATCGGAAATGCCATAACTTTGGTATTTGTAAAGTTAGGAAGTTGGGATTTTCTATGGGTCTCATTTTTGGCCCATCAATCCGACCTACCAAACTTCATTAGGATCGGCCGACTATATCCTATAGCTGCCATATAACTGATTGATCGGAAATGCCATAACTTTGGTGTTTGTAAAGTTAGAAAGTTGGGATTTTCAATGGGCTTAAAATTTGGCCAATCAATACAACCTACCAAATTTCATAAGGATCGGCCGACTATATCCTATAGCCGCCATATAACTGATTGATCGGAAATGCCATAACTTTGGTGTTTTTAAAGTTAGGAAGTTGGGATTTTTTATGAGTATTAAGAATGCATCATATGAATAATTTTGGAGAATATAATTTAAAGAGTATTCTGCAAGGGTATATCAACTTCGGCTCCGCCCGAAGTTAGCTTTCCTTTCTTGTTACACAATAAATTTGCATTGGTTTTTGCTTAATTTATTTTCTTTTTGTATATGAATTATTAAACACATTAATCAAACAGATTTTGTTTTTTATGTTTTCTTGTTTTTTTTTTTCCTTTTTTGGTAAATCATAGTTTTGTGCATAATAAAATACGTAATAAATTGCCAAATAAAGTGTTTTATGCATCCATACTAATTTGAATGCACGAATCGTCGGCTTTTTTGGTTTTTCTCTATAAATGACATTACCCTTTCCCCCAGCTTGCATTCATTACAATACAATTAAACATACAGTATTTTTCCATATAAATATTTTGTATATATTAGCATAATTTACCTTTATATATTCAGTCTTAAGCTACAAAAATCGTTATGCATATTTCTGTTTTGTTTTTATTATTTTATCTCTTTATGCTTTTGTTTGCTATAATTTGAATCTATTCAAATAAGTTATATAAATTCGCAATGTATTCATTTTTATTTCTTGTTTTCGTTTTCATTTCTGGTGCGGCGAAAGAAGGAGAAAAGCAGAAAAGTGTTTTTTTCCCGGGGGTTTTGGGCGGTGAGGGAAATTCAGGCGACAGTTGTAGGGTAGCAAACAGTCTTACAACTAAAAAGCAAACTTAAACTCTAACAAGAACTGCGGGTGGCCGGGAGTATTACGTTTACCTATTACATTTATCGACTATCTGCTATCTGTTATCTTCTATCTTCTATTGCCTATCGACTAACGGCTATCGTTGCAACTTTCAGCGATTTTGTCATGTTCTGCGTTTGCGTTTATCTTACAGGCATGCCTCATTTTAGTGGTTTTTTGGCCAGCTCTGTCTCTCCACCTAAGACGTTTAGCGCTTTCCAAGTTTTACTGTAGTATGTACCTTGCTCAAGTAAACCAAATGTGTCACTATGGCTAACCATTTTAAACTAATGCTATGTAGTAGAGTGTAGTGGTAGTCGTCATCCTGCGGTAAGTTGAGTATCTCTCTTTAAATGAAACGCCAGTTTGCTCGGAGGTTCTCTTTTTTGGGTTCGTTTTGGGCTTATAGTTTCGGTTTTGGTTTATGTTTTGCTTTCGGTTTTTGTATCTCAATATCAATCTGAATTTGAATCTGAATCTGCTGCTGAAGTTGTTGGTGAAAAGTCGAGTCTATCATTACAGCTATCAGCTAGGTTTATAGTAGTAAATTTATCGAATTTCGTTACCCCTTTTTACATATTTACAGGACTGCAGCTGGTATCTTTCGTATTTCGTGTTGAAGCTCGTTTCCCAAGGGCACCACATCTCCAAGACAGTATGTACAATGTAGAACCAAACGTTGGGGTCACCATTAAGCAACCGTATTGAAGGTGAAGCTCTCTACCGGCGAATTCAACCCCGACTGAACGTCAGTGCGAGGACGAGTGTTCCCAGGATGGCCATGCCCTGGGCCAAAGGACCTGATCCTCCTGCCGTCGACATATCCTGTCCCACATTGCTGCGCACATCCATCAGATCGCGGGACAGGGGCAACTCGGTGGGATCGCTCAGTTCATCGTGGCAGGGCAGCATTTCCGGCTTCAGCAGGAACAACTTGATGTACACCGCATTCTTGTTGGTCAGTATATCGAGGGCATCGCCCGACGAGGTGTGCGATGTCATCAGCACATCCACATCGTTGTGACCCACGGCCGGATTGCCGGCTCCATAGAATCCCTGCTTGTGCAGGCTGAGATTGTCGTCCAGATCGAGGCCATGGTTCAGGGACAGACCGCCAGTGTTCTCGTCGTAGTAGTCATACCGCTTGTGGGCCGGTGCCACTGCTGCCAGGTCCTTCTGCTTGGGGTCCTCCTGCTGCCGCTTCCTCCTCTTGCGCATCTTCGACTCCACCACGTTCTCCGCACTGGAGGCGAACTGCCGCTGTCCCCGCAGAGCCTGTCGCGATCTGCCCGCCGAGTGCTTCCTGGTCTCGTCTAGCGTCAATCCGCTGTAGCTGCTGCCCACCACACTGTTGCCCACTCCGCCCATGCTGGCACTATTGCTGCCAATCGCCGTGAATCCACCGATATTGAGCACGTCCAGGATGGTCGGCGGCACCGGGTCCACAAAGTGCGACAGTTTCGGCTCCTGCAGCGTGCAGTGCAATTCCTCCAGCGAGTCACGCAGCTGCAGGTGACGTGTGCGATTTTTCAATTCGAAGATCCACTGCAGACGACAGTCGCAAATGAATTTGTTGTCTGCGGAAGACAGGTGAAAAGAGGGAAAACGAGATGGGGGGGGTTAAATATAACTTGCAGGCTGAGGCTGGCGGGTTATCCCTGAAATTGCTTTTGTCAAATCGTCGCCCCAAACCGATTGTCCCGGTCTGAATGCCGCCCAACCAAATGTCCGCCTGTCTGCCCAGGTAAGCGAATGATTTCCCCGCAGCTGCTGAGTGGCCGACTGCAACAATTGGCTGTCATTTGATGGCCGATTGCCACTCCAACTTCAGGTACACAGAAAAGAATGTCTCTTATTGTTGAGAGAAATAGAAACCTGATAAGATTTAACTATTAAATGTTGTGCGGTACTAGAATAAAGCAATATTACATTTAAAACTATTTTTTTATTGAGTTAGTTAGTTAAAAGTTAAGCTTTAAGAGTACAACATTTTATAGAATATTTATAATAAGTTTTTGTTTGATAAACTTTAATGCAATTTTAAATTGAATTCCTTTTAAAAAAAATATATCACAACTTTTATGAAAGGGGAGTTTTACTTATTTCTTTAACTACTTTAAAATCTTAATTTAAGCTAAGTAATTTGTTAAGTGCATTGTACTAAACTCCAGCTTCAGCTTGGCTGAATTCTGCCAGCCGCTTTAAATGATTTTGCCCACGTTCGACTCCGGAATCGAAGTTGCAGACGGAGTTGGAGCAGGAGCAGGAGTCGGAGTCGGATGTCGATGTCGTTGTCATTGGGGCTGCTGATGCTCCTCACGTTAAACGCCTCAATGACATTTCCAATTTAGACAGCAGCCTCCTCTCATTCGGGAGCGATTGCAACCGGGGTTTTGACCATGCCCGTCCATTGGCCTGCGTCTGTCACTCAGTTGGACAGCCAGCTCCGGATCTCCAGCTCCAGCTCCTGCTCCAGCTCCAGCCCAAACTCCTCCTTCGACTGATGTCAATTATTTTGTAGTCCGTTTGGCCATGCGTGGCCCTAATCTGCCCCATGCCTTGGAAACCCCTTTCAATTTGCTGTTTGGTTAGAGAACACAGCCTGACTGGGTTCCAAATTGAGCGGATAAACAAGTGCCAGAGTAGATCTAATCGCCGACAATGGTCTAATGAATAAATCAAATTACGTTTCGATGGGCTTCCCAAAGGAAACTTCAGCCTGAAAAAGGGAAAACGAGCTACCATCGTGGGTATAATTAGGCCCAAACACTGTGACACAGTTTGCCCTGTCAACATGTCGCATAATTAGCATAAGCGTTACGAAAAATATTGACTAACTGGCAAACACACAGAGCCACTGGCGACATCATTATCAGCAGGGATACGAAGGAGCCAAAGGGATATGGACTGGGAAAAGTCAGTCAGCCAATTGAGTTGCCCAAAATGGGTGTCCTTTTCCTTCTTCTCTCGACTGACAATAATAATCCGAGGCATATTTTTGTAGTCCGGCCAAAAACTTGCCCCGAACGACAAAAGGAAACTTTGCTTTGCAAAATAGTTGGCAAATTAGTGCAGGGCATGGGGGAAAAACCAAGGAGAGCCAGTCAAAAATTCTAATTTTCCATATGAAAGCATGCAAAAACCATAAATAAAGTTAAATATGCACAGCCGGAGGACGAGGAGATGACTACACTTGGAAGCCGGTCCGGAAAAATGCTGGAAAAATGGCCAACGACTTGGCAACATTTAGCAAGCAAATTACAACAAAATTAACATGATAATGAAGTGACCCAGCTGGGTGTTTGCGGAAAATGTTAGGAAGTGGATGAGGAAGTGGGAGTGGCAGAGGGTGTGGGTGTGGGTGGATAGTGCAGTTGGCAGCTGTTCGCAGCTGACCAAATGACAATGACTTGCCCCCAGACAACGCTCCATAAAAGTGCTTAAAAAAATAGAAATTAAAAAAAAATATAAAAAGAGTGTAGAGGGGGGGTGGTAAAAGGGAGTCGAGGACACCAGACTGTCGTACTTTGTGTGGCATAAAATACTTTTATATTTTTAATGATACTTGGCCAAAGCGGTAGGAAGTGTTTTGGTCTGCTGCACACACTCCGGCACACACACACACACTTCCCACCTCACCCCCTCTACCCTTTTGGCATGCAATGAACTACCTCAACCCATTCCGACCACGCCCCCTTATTGCTATATATGCATGTATGGCTGGAGAACTGCGGCTGTTAGTCAACTAGATGACTTTCAATTCTACCACCTCCTGCTCCTTTTATCCTCATCCCTTTTGAACTACACAATCAAAAAATATAATTAATAAACGTAAATAGGGGGTATTATACAATAACTACATTATATTTCTGGGAATCACCCTTAAAAATTTATTATATTAATAATTTAAAGGATTATCCATGATAAAATTATATTTTCAATAAATAAAACCTTTTTGATATTAAAACAAAAATGTTATTAATAAAATGAAAATTGATCTAGGACTTTCAGGACACTACGATTTCTTTACAAGATAATCTTCTTTTTAAGATAAGATACAATTTTCTTTACAATTAAATCATTTTTTGATCTGCCTTCTCAATTATCAGTTCAAAATGAATCTACATTTCTTTCAGTGCACCATGACGCTGTAGCTTTTCTTTCAATTTGGGTGGAAGTTTGGTGAGGGGTCAGGAAACTGTCGGAAACGTTTTTACGGCTTGCAAAGGACATTTACATACAAACACACTAGCTCAGTGGGAGGACCTCCACATCCACATGTACAAGCGTCGTCTGTGTGTACATTAAATTTTATTATTGTCATTTTCATGGCGTTGTCGGACCCCTCATTCCCCCCACAACTTTTCGGTCAGCTCTATTTGCATAAGTTCAGTTCAGCTTTCTGTGTGTGTGTGTGTGTGCAGCCAAATTAGACTCAACTGGAACTTTGTTTGGTCAGTTTTAATGCCAATGTGTCTGTGAGGCATTTCATGTGTTGAAACATATTCATAATTAGTTGTCAGTTTTTGGGGCAGTTGAAGACCGGAGAATGTGGACTCCTTTGATTGGCTTTGTTTGCACAAGATGTTGCTCTTTAAAGGGTGTATGGTATTATTGTACACTGGCTAAAATAACAGCAATCCTTCATCGTGAGTCCTGACAGCTTCTCTTTTTTCCTTTGGACCCTCTAAATGGCGTTTCATTAACATTTATTTTAAATTTAATACACAGCAAGACTAGACCCACAAAAAGTTTCAAAAGGAAGGTCCAAAAATTCGCTTTAATTGGTTGGTTTTAGGTGCTGCCTGCCACATTAACCCATGCTGGCCCACCCCCGTTCTCTACATATATTGAAAGGCGCAAAGAAATCGCTGCCTGCTGCTGGTTTTTTTTCCTTTTTTTTTCGTTTTTGGATGGAAGGGGGGTTATATCAACACAAAGTTTCCGCACGCCCCCAAATCAGCACAGCTGCTGGCCTAGTTCCAAGGCCTTTGTTTCACTCCGGACTTGGTACTCCCGACTGCCTCCCCGTTTGGGGTCACCAGGAATCACCATGAATGCCGCGCAGCCCTGTTTGAAATCAGCTCATTTTTGGCGGCCTGGCCAACTGGCCAACACCGGGCTTTTGGCCAACTGGGAACTGGTAACTGGTAGCTGGTAGCTAGTAACTGGGTTCGTTTGCGGTGCTCGGCTTTGGTCCGCCTTTGGCTGCCACCAGGGGACAGCACGCACAGTTTTCAGTAACCAACTTGCGGGAGGGGCGGGGGTCGGACTGGGGTCAAGGGGGCGTGGCAGCGTCGTCCTTCGCCATTCTCTATGAGACTGGGTGTGTGTGTGTGTGGCGGACTACGCTCTCCCGAGGATTTTATCATTTTTTATTACATTTCTCGAGAGCGCTATGTATGCAAATGAAGTCGAAAGTTTCGCTTTGTATAGTTGCTAGTTGCTTTTGTTGTCGGATGAGTAAGGGAGTTGGTGATAAAGGCAAGCTTGTTTGGGAAGGCGTGAAGGGGACCGATTCCACTCATTGGCTTTGGATACTCTTTTGTGGAGTGGTGAACAAACTTCGAAGGATGCATATAGCTCCAAGGGAAAGTTATTGACGCAAACCAGAAAGGGGACAATTTTTAGGGCAATTCTATTAGTATTGGTTTTTAACACTTTTTAGTGTAAACGATTCACAACAAAGTTGTATATTAAACCAACTACTCAAAAATTGTTGTTGTAAAAAAATTCCAGTCGAACTTTCATAATAAGTCAAACTACCACTTAAAGATTCTTTTGTTTTAATGAATTGTTTGTTTCTTGAACTTTCTTTAAACATTATAGACAAACAAAGACCTTAAGACCTTAAAGAAATGTAGTATTTTTTATATTTTAGGCAGGGTGAGACAAATTGGCATATAAATTTTAAATAAATTCTAGCTTCTTCGAATTGAAATGACCTTGTCGAGTCTAAGAGATCAAATATTTAAAGGGGAAAACCGTCCGTTATTAATCAATAGTTTAATTAGTTATTTAATAATTCATTTGTATATTGTTCAAATTTAAAATAAACCTTTATGGGGTAATAGAAAATGTCCTTGCCATCGAACTGTGTTAATTACCCTAACTTACTCATAGCATTCACATAACATTCTAGAATTAAGAATGAACCCCAACCAAGAGTCAAAGTTAGTCGTTGTGCTACTTTATATCACCCCTCGAGATCCCTCTCACTTTTCGGCAAGTTCTTTTATTAGTCGAAACGAGAAGAAGCCTTCAAATTTGTGGACCTTCTTCGTGCCGCCTTTTTTTTAATGAGCTTCATTTTCCAAGTTTTTCTTTGGCTCGTTTTATATTTTTTGTTGCTGCCTGTTGGCTTGTTTTCTGGCTTGTTACGGCTGTGTGTGATTTTGCCGGCTCATTCGCATTGCGTGTATTTAATTTTGTTCGTCCCTTTTGGAATGGATGGCTAGGGGGGTTGGGGGGTTACCCGGCAATTTTCACCAAGTTCATTCAAAATCAAATGGGGTTCCACTAAGTTGGGGCCAAAAAAGGCGGAAGGAAGGAGCAGCCATTGAAAGCCATTTGAATG